CATTTGTTAAATTTTTTTAGGCTTATGTTGCACACTTGGTGTTAATTTCAGTCCAACAGTCTGTATCTTTGTATCTGTTTTAGCATATTACAGATGAATGTTCTGCGTTACACTTCAGTTTTCAAGTTTTTCCTATAATTTTTGCATCATAGATCATAAATCTACCATTAGTTTCTTTGGTATCATTTGTTGCTCAAATTGAAAACAAAAAAACAAGCACAGTTAGAAATTCCTCATTGAACCGTATTTCTAGATCTGCCAGATTAAACAGTTGTTTTCACCTCTTCAGCCTTCAAGATGGACCTGCAGCAGAATTTACTTCCCTCACCAAGACCCTCTATGACCTCCAAAAATCTGTGGAGCCTGCAGGTTGTAAAGGAAGCCCTCTGCCTCAGCTGGTGGTGGACAACTTTGATGAGGAGCAGATTTGGCAGGAACTGGAGATACAGAATAATGCTGTGATGAAACATTTTAAAAATGCCGTAGATGAGACTTTAATTAAGACTTTGCTGAAAGAGGACACGGAGGAGGAAGACGAGAATGAAGAGGAGGCTGAAGGAGAGACAGATGATGAAAATGACACTGAACAACCTTCCAAACTCCGAAATAAAAAGGCAGCGGAGGCACAAAGTGACTCTGAGGAAGACTCTGATATAGATTTTGACGTGGACGCTCTTGAGAAACGAGAGAAGCAGAAGAAGCAAGGTGTGAGGAATGACTCCAGGACAAAAGTTGTTCCCTCTGAGGTTGATGATAAGTTCTTCAAACTGTCAGAGATGGAGTCGTTTCTTGATGAGATGGACAAACGTGAGGGAAAGGAAGACGAGGGCGAAGATGATATTGACTATTTTCAGGATGTTCCCTCTGATGAAGACGATGATTTGGACTTGGATGAGATTATGTCCTCCAAAGAAAATAAGAAAAACATGGTATGCACGTCACATTTCTGCTTTCCACGATAACACAGAAGACAAAAATGTAATAATTTTGTTTATATTAACAATATTAACAGGCAAAGAGCTCCAGGAATCTCAAGTACAAAGATTTCTTTGATGCCATGGACGGCGGACCAGCTAAAATAAATGAGCAGTCAGATGATGATGACGATGATGATGAGATGGAGGACATCCAGGATGAAGGAGAAGAAGAGGATTTTGATGAGGAAGAGGAGGACGATAATGAGTAAGTGTGATCAGTTACTTTTTTTTTATTCATATGTCAGAGAAGCACTTCAGTTTGATGGCAGCATGTCTGTGCTTTCTGGTAGCGGTGACGGAGGAAGTCCAAGTAAAGCCTCTCGAAAGAAGGTGACCTTTGACCTGTCTGGGGAGGAGGACAGCGAGGGGGAGGACATGGAGGAGACATTTGGAGGAAAAACTTCAAGCTCGGAAAAGTCCGAAGTAAAGTCTTCATATGAGAAGCGACAGGAGAAGGTAACAAAGCTTCAAATGCTGCTGATTTGATTTATAACCGATTCTGAAGTCTACTTCTGATAGCACAGAGTTGAATTTCTAAAATGAAGCAAAACAAAAACGTTACTATGAAAACATTGAGTTAAGAATATAAATAAGTTTTTCTATGGTCTCAAATTATTATTATTTGACGGGTTTTTTTTTTTTTGATAATTCCTCCGGCAGAAAATCTCGACAAAAGAGTTTTTCTCAAGAATATGTGAAAGAAGGTTCCCTGCAGTTCACTTTTAGTTACCGCTGGTCTCCCATCTTGCAGATGTCTCAGAAGATCCAGGAGCTGGAGAACGCAGCTCTGGCAGAGAAGGCGTGGCAGCTGTCCGGAGAGGTGACGGCGCAGACCCGTCCGGAGAACAGCATGCTGGAGGAGGACGTGGAGTTTGAACAGGCATCAAGATTGGGTGAGCCTTTATTCTCGTGCTTTTCGATTGATCAGCTGTCGTTTGACGTAGCAGTCTATTTAGCAAGCCTGTCAGGTAAACCAAATAACCCAGTTTCGTTCTTTAGCCCCTGCTATTACTGAGGAGACCACCCTGCAGCTTGAAGACATCATCAAACAGAGAATAAAAGACCAGGTCAGACATGGAGACTTTTATTTAACCTGATTTTTTATTATTATTATTAATGTTTCTTTGAATCAGTGCCTTCATCTTGTGTTCACACAAGGCATTTGATGATGTGGAGCGTAAAGAGAAGCCTAAGGAGGAGGTGTTTGAATACAAAAAGAGACTGACTCTGGACCATGAGAAGAGCAAGCAGAGTCTAGCACAAATCTATGAGCAAGAATACATCAAACAGATTCAGGTTTGACTTTACACTTGTTCTCCATCACATACAATCCGCAGAGCCTCCGTTTTATTATCCTCTTATTTCAGAATAAGACAGAGGAAGAGGAGAACCCAGCTCATGTAGAAATTCAAAAACTTATGGACACGCTCTTCCTAAAGCTGGACGCTCTTTCCAACTTCCACTTCACACCAAAACCAGTGAGTTATTTTCTGATATCAGTTACTAAAAGGTACAAAAAAAGGCAAAATGAATAAAATGTCATTTTGAAATAAATTTCATTCAATAATAAAAAAAAAGAAAGGAAATAGCTAAATGAGGATGAGACATGCTGTACGATAAATGTAAAGGATAGCAGGATAGTGATGATGAACTCATCCATCCATGTTTACTGTCTTGAACAGCCTGTTCCAGAGGTCAAGGTGGTGTCGAACCTCCCGTCCATCACTATGGAGGAGGTGGCTCCGGTCAGCACTAGTGATGCCACTCTGCTCGCACCAGAAGAAGTCAAGGTTTGGCAGCTTCAATCCAATTACAAATATCTATGGTGGTGATACCAGTTTTTCAGTTACACAACAGCTTATAAGCACTTTCTGCTTATTAAAGGAGAAGAACAAGGCCGGAGACTTACTGGGTGATACTGAGAAGACGTCGACTGACAAGAAGCGCGAGAGACGGCACAAGAAGAAAGTGAAGCGTCTGAAGATTCAGGAGAAGGAGAAGAGACAAAAGCTTAAGGAAGCTAGCAGGACCGGGGGAAATAAAAAGCCTTCGAAGGCTGAAGTCACTGAAAACCTGAAGAAACTCACAAAGGGAGGCAAAGCCGTAATACTAAAGGTTGAGCACTTTATTGGATTATACACAAACCAAATTCTCATAGTTTCTGACTTACAATGTGAACAGTATTGCCAAATATTTTCATAACACATTTGACTTTTTATACTTTATAGCTGTGTATTATTTGTTTACAGACAAAGCACTAGTCACGGACGGGTTTCATCCTTTATCAGCACAATTTTAACCTGCACATCACAATTTGAGTATCTATTTTTAGCATTTGCACATTTAGCTGATTCATCTTTCGTTTATGCAAGTTGAGCCACACCTTCTGGATGCCAACACAAACACTTCATTGCCCCTTAAATAGCTCAGTGTGTTTCTGAAGTGACGCATCTAATACCGTTTCCTTTGCTTTCAGGATGAAGGAAAGGACAAGGCTCTGCGGTCTTCTCAAGCTTTCTTCTCTCAGCTTCAGGATCAGGTCAAAAGTCAGATCAAAAGTACAAAGGAACAGTCTTCAAAGAAGAAGAAACAAAAGGAGGTTTCTGTCAGCAAACTCAAGCTGTAATGACTCTTCTGGTTTATTTTTGATGATCACCTTTTCATTGTACAGATTCTTTTATGAAACAACTGCAATACATTAAGTCTGAAAGTGTGAATAAATTGTTTCTGTTTTTATTCAAATGTTTGTGTTTATTCACATAAAGCACTTTATTTTACTATCTACAATGGTTATTGTGCTACAGTAAGAATCAGTAGGGGCCTTAGCTTGGATTATGAGTCTGCCTGCAGCAGATTTTGTTTTTTACTTCCTCTCTTGATTTTTGCAGCTCAACAGTTGTACCACATTGAAGAACATAATCACTTTTTGCCATCAGGGGGTGATGTGAGCATAATGCCTGACAGAAACTGACATAAAAGCCAGATTTATGTGAAGAGATTATGAATTTTATTCATAATCTGATGTATAATGAGTCTTTGATGTCCAGCCTGAATTCCAGTGTAGTTCTCTATCATTTTTCTCATTTGTCTTTCTATAAGAAGAAAATGTTATGCTAACATCAAATCTAAGTTGGATTACCTAAATCAATATTAACACGATAAGCAAGACTGCAATAGTTTTGTTGATGAAAGTGACTTTTAAGTGGTTAGCATCTTAATAAACAGCATTACAATTATATGAATATTGCTGTAGTTTCTAGTAATGTTTCAGACTCGGCGTGGGATTTATTTTTTAAAAATCCAGCAGCGTATCTTAGGCTTTGTTATTCCTCTACAATTTGTTGCCTGCATTTGCCCCAACTTATTCCTTGACACATACACACACATCATACACCAATAAATTAAAGCAATTACAATTTTTGTTGGAAAGAAATTGTTCATTTTAAATGTACCCAAGACAATTTTGTGTTGTACAATGATTGGTAAACATATGGCTGAAATACATATTATTACTATATAGTGTAAAGTAACCAAATAGAGAAAATGTTTACATTTGATTGTTAATACAACTGTACTTTACTATTAGATTTACTCCATAAGTGTTGACTGACAGTAAACGCTCATGCTCAGGAATAGAAAAAGTGATGTCATTTTTCCTCAATAGAATGATGTGTGAGATGCAAAATGATGATTAGGATAAGAAGATTAACATCTCGGATAGCTGAAACTTTCTTTTTATAAGGAATCACTGAATCATGAATAATGGTTCACTTTGAAACATTTAATAAAACTTAGAGGATTTTTCAATATTTTTAAAGTATTTTTCCAAAGTCCTTTACAAAAATGGCCAGTTGAAATGCAATTTAAAAGTAGATTTTTTCCATTCTGATGACTAAGAAACCCATTTGATATATACCAAGTATGTAAAAATGCCACATTTTAAAAAAGATAACGCGAGAGGAGTGTAGTTATTAAATGTCACTCTGGCCTGCCATACCTCGTCTCCGCCTCTTTGGTAAAATCCCCATGACGTAAACGCAAACCATTACGGAAGTAAACTAGGCGACGAAACAGGGACAGAAACCCTTATTAGTTGCGTGTCTTGTCTTGCCTAACAGTTACAGACTTTCAGGTAAGTCTTTTTTCGTTTTTTTTTGTAGGATAAATGTTATATGTGTAAAATAAAATTCTTTAACGTATTTGAGTGTATTAGGGTCTGTTTGTTTTTGTTTTGAAAGCGTTTAGCAAGAGCTAGTAGTTGGAAGCTAACCAACGCATAGAAACTGAGCTTTAACAAACTGAACTCTGGGAAACAATCAGGCTTGAGTTAACCTTAAACTGCTACAACATTGTGGTAAAATATGTGGATATACAAATAAAACAAATATAATTTGTCAACTCTGAAAGTATCGCAATTTCTTATTGTTAGCTTACGTTAAGCTAAAGCTAACTGACTTTAGCATAATCAACGAATAGTTTCAGTTGTCAGCGTGATTTCAGTGTCTAATTTACTTTGTGTTTACATGTGTTTATTGTTGTTTGGGGCTTAACAACACGGTCAGTTTGCTCGCCCTCACATGATGAGGTGAGTCACTGCATCGGATGTTTCCGTATGGTTTCTGATCAGACTATACTCTGTCCACAGATACACCGTCGTCATGTTGGGAGGAGGCTTCAAAGGAGAAAGGCTAAGAGTTAACCTGCGGCTGGTCATAAACCGACTTAAACTCCTAGAGAAGAAGAAAAGTGAGTGCATTGAAGTTGACAAATAAGTTTGATTCATTTTCTCTTGTTGCTGCCATTAGTGACAGTTTTTAACTTGACCAATCTTCACAAATTTCAAATGAAGCTGAGCTCGCCCAAAAGGCAAGGAAGGAGATTGCAGATTACCTGTCCTCTGGCAAGGATGAGCGGGCCCGGATTCGTGTTGAACACATCATCAGAGAGGACTACCTGGTTGAAGCCATGGAGATCCTTGAGCTGTACTGTGACTTGTTGCTCACTCGTTTCGGCCTCATCCAGTCCATGAAGTGAGTACTGAAACAAACTGGTGTGTGCTTTATAAGCTGTCACAATGCTCATCTACTTCTTTTGTGGCTGCCAGGGAGCTGGATCCAGGCTTGCAAGAGGCAGTGTCCACTCTCATCTGGGCAGCGCCTCGCCTCCAGTCAGAGGTGTCTGAACTGAAGATTGTAAGTGCTTTTTCAATTAAAAGAAAAAAAAATAATATTCCACTAAGTATTTTTATTTATATTACAAATGTCTGTACATTTAGGACAAAATTAAATCAAAGTAAAATTCCTTTTGATTAAGTTTAATTCTGATGTAACAAATAACTGTTTCAATAAGCAGTTTTATTTCTATCATGTCAGCTGTGTCTCTTAATGGTTCCTTCAGGTTTCTGAACAACTATGTGCAAAATACAGCAAGGAATATGGCAAGCTGTGCAGAACAAACCAGATTGGCACTGTCAACGACAGGGTAGGCCATATTTTTCTGGTATTTTGTGTTGTCTTTTTGAATAATACATGTACCATTTGTCGAATAACCATCTGATATGATTACAGCTGATGCACAAACTGAGCGTGGAGGCTCCTCCCAAGATTCTAGTGGAGCGCTATCTGATAGAGATAGCGAAGAACTACAATGTGCCATATGAGCCTGACGCTATGGTCCGGGTATGTTGTTATTTTCTTTTGAATACATTCCCTTTGACTATGTATGAAGGATGATGTAATGAGTTTTGCTTATTTACTCAAACTGTTTCTGGATAGCCTGAAGTGTGTACTGGAGAGGAGGCAGATCTAATTGATGTGGATACAGACAGGAAGAATGGAGGTGGAGGCAGTGGAGGCGGTTTCTCTGCTCCTCCTGCTACAGCTATGCCCATGCCCATGCCCATGCCCATGCCTATGCCAACAGCTTTTAACTACCCACCTCCAAAAGGAGCGGTAAGAAATGTTAAAATACTCTTTTAACCTCTTACTGTGAGTTTAACAGTCCTAAGCATTATTCAAAAGTATAAAATAGACTTCCAGTCATTTTCAGGTCCAAAAAAGTATGAAAAAAATAATAAATGGGGTATGGGAAACTATTTGGATTTTAAGACTATTAGCCCATGTTTCATATTTTGAAAAAATAAAAATAAATTGACTTGCTTTCTAAAAATGATTAGCAGATGTATTTTAAGACTGAAATCGATGTCTGTTTTTGGTCCATCCACTTCAAGCCTGGATTAAAAGTTTTTAGTGTTTTATGTATTGAGTTTGGACACTTTTTTTGTTTTGGGGGAATTTTTGGAACATGCAGAAAAATCTAATAAACATTTACAATACCTTTTTTGAAGTTTTATTTCTTAGAGGACCCACAATTTACCAAGAAAGTACTAATTTACTTAGATTTTAGTTTCGCACTGACTCTGAATTTCTAACATAAACACTAAAACAAGCTAAATATTCTTCCAAAACAGTTGGGACTTGAGTTCCTTGCCACTTTCTCTGTTAATAACTGATATTAAACACACATAAAGTTTAGTGTCATCTCAGTCGGTTCAAAATGATATTCTGCTTACAAAGTGAGAGTAATATGAAATAAAATGTGATCATCAGAGCTCAGTTGTTTTCATTGATTATATTGCACTTTATACAATATAACAAAATCCAAGTCTGCCTGGACATACAGAATTATTTAAAGATCTCCTCTTTGTTATTAAAGTCATTTAATCTGTATGTATTTGGACAATAGTTTCAAACACAGCAGAATATTCTTGTGTGTGATGATATGGATGATGGTTACCCAACGTTTTCCTGACTATTTGCCATTTTCTGCAGGAACCTTTTAACCCCTCGGTTGGAACCTACAACAGCTTCCCAGTAGCAGGAGGGCAGCCCCCTCAGCTGCCTTCTTCTCCCCCCACATACGAGTCCGTAAGTGACTGAGCCCTTCACGTCAGTGCCTCCCCACCCCCATCCCCACAGATGGACAGACGCACAGGGCAGGGAAGCACTCAGGGAAGGACTGTTTATTCAGCATGCTTGTAGTTTTACCTACATTCCTGGTTCGTCTACATTTATAAATGTAGAGTGAAGTCCATATCTTACTGGAGACTGGCTTAGCCCTCGGCCTTTTTAAGCATGCACTGAGTATATTTAACTAACAATTATGTACTGAAAATGGGATTGGAGTGCAGATTCAATTTGCAGTACTGTTGTTTTTTCAATTGTCTGTTGCTGATTTGCACATAAAAGGTTCAAAGCTCATTTTAATTGTGATATTTGCTTTTTAAATCAGCAACTTTTTTTAATAAACGCGCTGCTGAATTAAAAGTAAAATGGATGAATAGTTTTAATAATAAAAACAGATAGGACCTATACATCTACTAACTGACTAAGCAGCTCTTTAGGATGTGTCACATTATCTAAGTCTATAAAAATGCATCCTTTCAGCAAATACAATGAGGGTTAAAAGCAATAAGCATAGACAAGATCAGACTGACCTAAAGAAATATAAGACATAGAGACCAGAGTCCATCTGATCTGAGGAACGATTTAAATCTGATGAGTTTGAGTGTTATAGCTGCCACAAAGTTTAACTGTAAGAGTGACTTGGCATTCGGCAGTGACCTGGTCAGTCACTTGAGCTCCACCAGATGGTGCCTGATTGTGTTTTATCCAAACACAAACTGAGCAGAAAAAGAACAATAGCTTCAGTAAAGACCTGGCAACACATCTCGTAGATTTTTAGGGGATTCCAGACTTCAGAACAAGACTTCAGCCATGTTAATTCAAAAATTAAGTCTGCACCTCAATTGCTTTTCAGTTGTTGTGTATAAAAAACAATTTTGAGCCATCACTTTGGATTTATTTCCCACAGCCTGTTTGTTTTTTGTGAATAGCTTCTGCTTTGACTAACATGAGATGGTGAGTTGCTCTGAGCGTGCCTGAGTCTGATTGATTTATCGATCAGAGAAATTTCGCTGCCTACCTCCTAACATCTGCTTTGAAGGGTGATGGCTCTTAAATAATTTGTGCACCAGAATATTTTCTGTTTATTCTCCTATTCTGTCTTTGTGAGGTCTAATGAATAGTTTTTCTACAGTAGAAAGGTGACAATACGATTTGTGACGCATTTTTGTCTGCGTTTTAGATCGATGACTTCAATGACAAAGGTTCTGTTCCTTCTCAGGCTCTAGGTGAGTTCCACCTGAAACATATGCAGTTTTGTTTATGATACATAATTCCAGTTGTGGTGTTCTTCTCCCCCACGGTTTTTGTGAAGTTCACTCCCGATGTCTTTTGGCCGGTTATAGTAGAAAAAAATAAACTGTTCGTACTTCCCTTCAGGTCCTACTCCTGCACCTCGTCACTCGTTTGACCACAACAACCTACCAGAACTTCCCTCCGTTCCCGACACGCTCCCCACCTCCTCCCTGGGTGGACCCACCACCAACTCGGACGACATCGACTTTGACGATTTGACGCGGCGGTTCGAGGAGCTGAAAAAGAAGACCTAATCTGTGACACTGCTGGTCTGCGTACCTTATCTTACAGGCCTGTGTCGTTACCTACACAAGCCAGAACAGGAAATGGGGAAACATTTAGGGTTTTGAATCAGATTTGGGTAGTTCTCCTCCCCACTTCCACCCATATAAAGTAATTTTACATAGATTTTAAATATACATATATTCTTACCTCATTTTCACAAATATGACCAACTTACTGAAGGTGTGGGTGCTCACCAACCAACCAACCAACCAACCAACCAACCAACCAACCAACCAACCAACCAACCAACCAACCAACCAACCCTGTCTGCTAGAAAATTTATTTTCTTTTTCGGAAGGGCCACATGATTTTTTTTTTTCCCCCCCAAGTAGCAACATTTATATATATTCAAAATTACAATCATGAGGCTGCCGAAACCTTTTCATTTGTTTTCATTTAAGGTCATGCTGCCTTTTTACTGTTTCCAAATAAACCTGAGTGAATCAACTATTTAATCAAATCAAGATTTTATTTGCTTTTCCTACGGTTTGGGGTTTGACTAATAAATACAGCCTGTGCGTTGGCTCTAATTGGTGCATGTTGATGCCGCTGTAATCTTTTCCACTGTGTTTATTCGTCATTGTCTCAGAGCAGTCAGTCAAGCCCGACTGGTTTCCCCACTGGGATAGGAAGCGGCCATTGGCACTTAATGAAGTCAGCATATCTTCTCACAGCAGTTTCAGAAAACAATCGGACACGGAAGCCATATCTCCTGTTCTGTCCAGTCCATGTAGTCGTAACACTGTGGAACTGAGGATTTTGAAGTGACACCATTCACTGAGCTACTTCAATGACAGGAAGAAGGTGTGTGTGTGTGAGGCCTTGAGGAAAAGCGAGTAGTGAAATCTCAAAACCTACGTGGTAGTTGATCAGGCTTTGTTGTAAAAGTACAAAAAAAGTGTATGAATCCATTTATATAGAACATCTACAGTAATATAGATGATTATTTGCGCAAGTGATTTACAGATGAACCAAAAGATGTTTGGCAGCAGGGCTTTGTTCATTATTTGAAGAAACTGTTTTATAATTACTGCCTCTGAAAAATACTTCTCCCCCCTCCTTTTGAATGTCTGTTTTACCAAACTCTTATACTGTAACATAACTGAATGACATAATTTACAAGCACTCCTTTTAGATGCAACATATATGATTGGATCTTGTGTTTTGACTCCAGAAGTGATCATTTTATCCTGTTTTCTGCGAACATGTGCATGGGTCTTATACTGTATGTCCACCGCTGCATTTGCCTTAGCTGTCGTCTCTCATCCGAGGCCTTGCCAGTCTGTGGAAGGATTAAGCACTTGTCATCCATCAAGACTGGAGTCATGTTACCAGTTTGTTATGTGACAAATTCTTCCTCTTAAATTATTTGGTGAATTTATGCTTTGGATAAGTAACAGCCTGCTTTTCGATAGATAAAAGAGTTCTTGTGAAAAAAATTAAAAAAAAGGAGGGTTTTATTTTTGTGCAGACATGACGTATTGCTGTAACCTTACCACACCCAGCACTGCCTGCATGGCAAATGGACAGCGGCCTTGTGAACAGTGATTCAGCAGTTTCTGGAAACACAAGGAGTGGCTTTCAGTCTGGATTGCAAACAATGTTTATTCTGTTCAAAATATTTTGTAGGATGTAAAGCGAGATTGACACTACAGAGCTGTGACCTGCTCCCTATTTTTTTCTATGTTAGACTTTTCTATCATTCTGTTTCCTTACACACAAAATGTGTCAGGTTGAAAGAGATTTGTTTTTTCACAATGTACGGTAACATAAAACATTAATAAATGACTGTTTGGAACTGGAGCAAATTTTGATTTCTTAACTTTTTTTTTTTTGTCCTGTTTTAAATCACTGTAGTAAGTATTGGTGCCCACTAGGGGTCAGTGGCGCGTTTTACAACAATTCAGAAATGTTGCAGTCCTGAAGTCATACATCATCAGGTACGTTTCAACAAGTTTTACGATTAACAAATAATTCATTTATTTTAGTAATTCACTTAAAAAGTGAGACCTCCGGACAAATTGATTATCCAGGGTGAATTAGTGTTTATCTCTGTTTATTTAAGTAATGAGAATCCCAAACTAATTTTCTCGGAAAATTTGTTCAGTTTCAAAAGCAAGTATTTTCAATATGATATGGTCTATATACTGCAAAGCTGATGACTATCTTAAGATGGGCAAATCACAAGAGGTCGCTGCTGAAGAAGATGGCTATTCACCTGGCACTATTGCGAAGGTTAAGTGGAAGGAAAAAGTGCACAAGGCAAGGGGATGACCTTTTGCCTTGAGAGAATTGTGAATGTATTCCATTCAGGAGTTGGGAGGTGATTCACATGATGTGAACTGCAGCTGAAGTCGGGGCTTCATGAGGCACTGTACACATGACCAGCAAACTGGATTGATCCAAACCTCCTGTTAAATGGAAGCTAAGAGTTAGCAATCCAGTGGTTGCCACCCGTCCCGTAAAATACGGAATCATCCCGTATTTGGCTGTTAAATGTACGGGATACGGGACGCGATTTGTTCCGTATTTCTATAAATGTCCGATAGACACGCCTAGGATTTAAGAACCAGATTTGTTCTTTGTAATTTCTGTCCAGTAAAACTATTAATCTATAAA